AAAAAAGAGATATTCAAAATAACCAAAAAAAAAAAAAAACTCATTTAGAGTGCCGACCGAAGATAAATGACGGTGAAGATGACCTTAAATGTCAAAATTTATAAATTATTATATGAAAGTAAATAAAATACAAAGTTTTATTATTTTTTCTACACCATAAAATTTTATACCATACTTATAATTATACAAATTATATATCTACACAAACAACATCAATTTTACAATATTATTTAATCAAAATTACATTTTATTAATTTCCTAAAAAATGCAGAAAAGTTCAAGAAAACTTCGAAAAAAAAAAGTACTTAAGGGGTAGATCGGAGATGAATGATGGTGAGAATGACCTTAGATTGCAAGACCCTGGTCGAAAGTGCTGGATTTCAAGAAAAAAAATTGTGAAATGCTGAAAAATAAATAAATAAATAAAGGGGCTGATTTCCGGCATCTAACCTATCGGAAAATCACCCTTACCTTTGTAGATAGCAAGTAGATTATAGAGAAAGAAATAGGTGCAGAAAATGGCGAAAGAAGGGAGGAAAATGAGAAGCTAGGAAAATGAGAAACTGAAATGGGAAACAGGCGAAGGGATGAGGAAGAAGAGAATTTGTAGACTACAATTTTTTCGAACCAACAATGGTCCGAAAATGGGTCAAAAGCTGACCCAATGTCATCTCAAAACAGATGCACGTTGGGCCATAATTTCCAGACCATTAACAGTCTGGAAAATGCAGATTATTGCCAATAATCCAGACCAAAATTGGTATGGAAAAAGAGATGGTAGGGTCATTTTTCTGTAAATAATTCAGGCCAAAGTTGGTCTGGAAAAAGTGTCAAAAGCTGGCTACCATCATGTCACAGCAGAGCAAATATTCTGCACATAATCTGGACCAAAATTGGTCCGGATATCTAATTTTCTGCATATAATCAGGACCAAAGTTGGTCCGGATATACCCGATAAAATTGCTTCAAAATAGATGCACATTGGGCCATAATTTCCAGACCATTAATAGTCTGGGGAATGCAAATTATTGCCAATAATCTAGACCAAAACTGGTTTGGAAAAAAAGGTGGTAAGGGCTGCATTTTTCTGTAACTAATTCAGACCAAAATTGGTCTAGAAAAAGTGTCAAAAAGCTAGCTACCATCATGTCATAGCAGAGCAAATATTCTGCACATAATCCAGACCAAACTTGGTCCAAATATCTAATTTTCTGCATATAATCCAGACCAAAGTTGCTTCGGATACAACCAATAAAATTGCTTCACCTACCAGAGATGGTAAGAAATTACTTCACCATTTTTCAGACCATTCTCGGTTTGGAAATTTTTTTAAAAAAAATTCCAGCAGTGCAAATCACTGTTTTTTTTTTTTTTGTTGAAAATATTCTGACCATAGTCAGTCTGAATATTTTTCACACATTTTACTGTACTCCCGCCAATTATTTTCAGACTGTTTGTGGTCTGAATATAATCAATTGAGCTAATGTGACCTACCAATAAATATCTAGACCAATTTTGATCTAAATAAAATATTTTTCAGACCCTTTTTTTGTTGGTCTGAATTATGTCGGTCTGAACATCTAAAATTTCTAGTAGTGTTGAGGTTAACCCAGAGAAGATCAAAGCAATAGCCAAGATGAAACCGTCGAAGTCGGTGTAAGATATATAGAGATTAATTGGAAAGGTGGCAGCTTTTCATCGATTCATATTGAAGTCAACAGATAAGTGCTTGCCATTTTTTAAGATTATGAGATCAGCAACACAGAAGGATGAATCTGGCAAATAGAAGAAGTTTGAATGGAACCCAGACTGCCAAGCTGCATTCGATGAGCTGAAGTCTTATCTTAGCTCACCCCCTTTGCTGACAAAGGCTATAGATGGAGAAATCCTCTATTTGTACCTTGGTATTTTAGATGAAGCAATTAGTTATATCCTAGTGAGAGAAGAAGGTAAACCGCAGAAACTAGTTTATTATACCAACAGTGTACTACACGGAGCAAAACTAAGATACCTTATTGCCGAGAAAGTAGCGTTAACAGTTGTTACTTCCGCTAGAAAGTTGAGGCTATATTTTCAATCACACCCTATCATAGTCCTCACAGACCAACCTCTTCGAAAGATCCTTCAGAAGTCGGAGTGCTGAGGAAGGTTAATTAAATGGGCAGTAGAACTGGGGGAATTCGAGATAACATTTCAATAGAGGTCTGCAATCTGAGCTCAAGCACTGGTAGATTTTACCGTAGAATGCACCCCATGTCACCCAAACTCTAACCCTGAGCCGAGCAACTGGGCCTTATATGTAGACGGAGCATCTAGTAGCAAAGGCTCAAGAGCTGGTGCGTTCTTAGTTGGCCTAGATGGATATCGAAGTGAGCATGCTTTGAAATTTAACTTCGATGCAACTAATAACATGGCTGAGTATGAAGCTTTGCTACTTGGTTTGCAACTAGCATTAGAGCTGAAAGTCATGGCCATAAGAGTTTACAGTGACTTGCAACTTATGGTTAATCAAGTCAACTCAATCTACGAGGTTGTTAATCTTGTCATGATGAAGTATGTAGCCTTGGTGGCCGAGCTGAAGTGCAAGTTCCAGAAATTTTGTTTGAGCAAAATTCCCCGAACTGAGAATGAACAGGCAAATTCACTTTCTAAGTTCATCTTTAATAGCTCCTTAAGCTCCAGATCAGTTTTCGTTGAAGTTTTAGATGAACCGAGCTTCATGAAGCCAAGAATGATGAAGATCAGCACAGATCCAAATACACCAAGCTGGACAGATCCAATTGTCTCTTTTTTACGAGACGGGTCAATGCCTGAAGATAAGTAAGAAGAGATGAGGTTAAGGAAGAAAGCGTCTCGATATACACTCGTTGATAGGGTCCTTTATAAGAGATCTTTTTCACTCCCTCTCTTGCGATGCTTGAATCCTTATGAAGTTGAGTATGCATGTCGGGAGGTGCATGAAGGTGTGTGTGGAAGCCACATTGGTGCTAGAACCCTGTCTCACAAAGTCCTCAGATAGGGATATTACTAGCCAAATATGTATAAGGATGCTACTTACTTTGTACAGAGATGCCCGAATCACCAATTCTTCGTACATTTAACTCACCAACCGGCAAAAGAGCTCACCAACTTGGTGGCACCATGGCCATTTGCCCAATGGGGACTTGATCTTTTAGGCCCATTCATAAAGGGGGTCAGAGGTGTAACCCATCTAATTGTTGGTGTTAACTATTTTACGAAATGGGTTGAAGCTTGGTCATTATCCAGTCTTACTTCTAGAAAGGTCGAAGACTTTGTTTTCAGCTTGATCATTTGTAGATATGGAACCTCGAATCAGATCGTAGTTGATAATGGTACTCAGTTTAATTGCTCTTCATTCAGAAATTTCTGCTCCAATTATGGGATCAAATTACAGTTTACCTCAGTATACCATCCGGAGTCCAATGGTATGGTTGAATCTGTCAATAAAGCTATCCTCAAGGGAATAAAGCCGAGGTTGGAGCAGCACAAGGCCAGGTAGGCAGACGAGCTCAACAATGTCCTCTGGGCATATAGAACTACGAGCTAAACTGCCACAGGTATTATTTCTAACCTAGGTTACTTTCATTCTATTTTATTTTCTCATTTATGGCTTTACCCTAGATCAAATATGCACAACATATAAAGCATATTCTAAAAACTATAACTTAATGAAATAGGTGAAACATCCTATCACTTGGCCTTTGGTACCGAAGCAGTTATTCCTATTGAAATAGGAGTCCCAAATTTCAAGGTCACCCATTTTGATGAAGGACAAAATGGACAACTGCTTTAGAAGAACCTTGATCTGCTTGATGAAGTCAGAGAAGAGGCACGACTTTGAACTCTGGTATACAAGTAGAAACTAGCTAACTTCTATAACAAGTGAGTCCACCCTAGAACCTTCAAAGTAGGAGACCTTGTTCTCAAAAAAGCTGACCTAACAAGGTTTGAAACTTTTTTTGGTAAATTAGCTCTGAATTGGGAATGCCCTTATACAATGGCCGAAGTGCCACATCCTAGCACCTATATCCTTCAAGATGCTGAAGGGAAGAGAGTTCCTAGAGTTTGGAATATCAATAACTTGAAGAAATTTTACCCTTAATACACTTTTTTCAAGTGATCTTTATCTTATTCTTCTTTATAGTTATTACTTCTTCATTTTTGAGATTCATTTCATCTCTTATTCTACATCGCCGAGGTCAATTTATTTGGAATTTATTCCTTGGACTTCACTTTTATTAATGAATTTCACTTCACATTCAAAGTGATTTACTTCATCTCAGTTCACATCCAAAGTAATTTACTTTATCTTAGTTCTTATGTTAATTCAAAACAAATAAAACACAAAACAAGTATTCAAAAACAATCAAAATTTTCCTTAAATTACTTAACAAATACTACAAAAATGTTCAATCATTGTTTAAATTCTAACAACATCAATTAAAAAGCAAAAATCCCTAATTATTTTATTGGAGGAGGTGGCTGAGGTGGCTCTTGATCTGCTGGAAGAGGAGGCTGTTCTTCTTTAGAGGGAACTGGATAGACCTTCACTTGTAGAGGTGATTGGCTCTCCTTAACTTCAGCACCTTCTACCTCTGCTTCCTCTTCCTCCACTACTACGAACTCAAAGTCAAAGTTCAGAGGAAAAATGATGCGTCCTTTTTCATTGTGATCCCACCTCAGTTTAATTTGAGGGCGAAAGTCCGCTGACATACTTTCACCGTTCTCCTCTACCCCCTCCTTTTATTCGCCGAAGGTGATCTTTGTTATATTCACTTTGGGATACTCAACTTTCACCTTCTTTCTGCAATCAATGAAGGTGAGGATTGCAGTAGGCAGTCGGTAGAGATTGACAATGTTGTCAAACGAGTTGGAGTTGACGAAGTTGCTGATATGCTCCTCCATCCCATTGTGCACCAGCAGTTGAACATTCTTCTTCAGCTCGACCATAGCTTCTTTCATCTTTTTTATTTCTTTCTCCTAAGCTTCACGCTCGTTTTCAGAGATCTTCCTTTTTCTCTCTTAAAAAACGAGCTTGGTGCTAAGAGATTCCTTCTCCTCCTCAAGCTGCTTCACTACTGGTACCACCTCATCCAACGCCTCCTGCATCTCGTTATTCCTCTTCTCCAGCTCATCCTTCTCCTTCTGCAGCTACTCACACTGCCTTCGCAAGAGAGTGCGCTCCTTCACACTTTCTACAAACTCCTAGGATAGAGCATTCACCCAGCTTGCACTCTGCAATCTAGCAAAGTCAAAAAGAAAAAAAACAACAAAACAAAAAACAAAAACAACAATAAATACCTCCAGAGCGTGCTTCACCACAGTCGCCCCAGCATACCTCAGCACCTCTTCCTTAGCTTGGCGCTTGTCCACTTCGGGGAAGGTTGCATTAATAAACCTCCTTGCCCCCGTTGTGTTCTTCGTGTCAAACAGGCTGCTTTGAAAGGAAAGAGGGGGAACAAGTCCTTTCCCTTTACTAGGAGCCCTTACCTCAACCCCCTCAACCTCAGTCTCCTTCAGCTTAGGATCAAGCTCAATAGGAGGAGGCCAAGGTACGAACTCTAGTACCTCATTCCCCCCAACCTCCTGCTCCATCACCTTCTTTTTCTTTTGTAGTGCTCCTAGCTTCTCACTGCCTTTCCTCTTCAACTCTAGCCTAGGTCCCACCTCTTGAACTCCAATCGAGGTGCTAGGCACCAACTCCTTCCCAGCTCCCACCCCACTTACCTCATTAGTTGAAGTCCTTAACTTCTTCCTCGGCTTCTTAGGAATGGCTACGCCCCAACAACATTCAAAAATTTATTCATCTCAGCTGCAAAACAACAAAAACAAAAATGTCAACAACATAACTCTACATTTAACACCAAGCACTACAATACAAAATATAAACACACCTTCACTCAAAGCGCTTGGCCCATAGAGCTTAGCAGCCTCTATGCGATCTGAGCTGGTGAGGTACATGATATTTACTAGATCACCCCCTCCCTCACCAACTTCCCCACCTCTTCTTCCTTATCTTCATTCAAACTATACTTATTTTAGTTGGCTTTCTCAGCCTTCCAAGATGACAACAATTCTGCCTCGGCATCCCCCCTCTCTCACTAAGTGTCATCCACAAAGAAAAATTTTTCTTTCCATCCTTTAATGGATGAAGGACCTGTTGTAAATAAACTCCTACTATCCTTATTTGACACTCTAGAGGTAAAATAATACCACCCCTTGTCCTTTCTACTTCCCTCCTTAAGAACAAAAAAAATATTTGAACATATTTACAGTTGGCACATTAACCCCCTAAGCTCGGCAATAAACTAAAAAATCTATTATTACTCTCATAGCATTGGGGGCTAGTTGTGTCAACCCTATGCTATAATCTAACAATAACCCCACTAGTAGCTCGAGAATTGGAAACCTAAGCCCCTCTGCCAAGTAATGGGCATACATGGGCATCCAATTATCCCGAGGTGTAGAACATGCCCTCTCCTCTACCCCAATAGGCCTAATCAAAACTCGGGAAGAAATTTCATAGCTTTCTACTAAATAACCCAGGCTATCCTTGGTCCCAAATTCTGACTCATATTGCCTCACCTCAGACACGACATCTGCCTCAACATCATAACACCTTTCATTTCTGCCCTCCACTTCTACTATAGTTATGGGAACCCTATCTTCCTCAACCCCAGCCATCTCACTTCTTTCTACCCCCTCCTCCATCCTCTATGAGTTAGATGACTCACTGGTCATACCTACATCACCATACTCCAATGCCCTCACTTCCTCACTTCCCCCAACGCTCAATATTTCTTCAGAAGACATCTTTACAAATTTGGTAACTTTCACTGCATGGAGTAGAGTAGAAGAAAACATGTTCTAAAATCTGAATTACCAAAACTCATACGTTACCTGATCTCAGTCTTGAAAGATTGATGTAGAAGTCCACAAAGAATGCAACAGTCCAGACGCAAGAACACAATAGAATTTTGACAGTAATTCAGTAGAAAATACAGCAAAACTAAAACTCTTTTTACAGAAGTATAGCTATATATACCAAAGAAAATATATGCCTCAACGGCTCTGATTAATTTTATCTAACGGTCACGATTGTACCGTTTCGAATTCGATGGTTAATCCCTCACAGAACCTTCTTGAATTCGACGGTTCGTTTTCCATTCCGTCTGTTTAACTATAACAGTTACTTTTCCAAGCGCATATTTATTGTACACGTCTTTCAATAGACAACTATCATGTCACGTATTAACTCTACGTCAGACTTTTTAAATGGGCCTAATTAAGCTCAACCCAATACTTCTGTTCACTTTCACACAATAACAATTTTCAATTTTACAAGTGTTTCACCTCGGTATTCTCAACCTATACTTTTTACTTCGGCCCCGGCAACAATGACTCCAGTCATTACTTTTTACTACGGCTCCGACTACAATGACTCCAGTCATTGCTTATTACTTCGACTTTGGCCATAGTGACCACGTGTCACATATTTTACTTCAGTTTCGACCATAGTGACCACGTTACATATTTTACTTCGGCTCTAGCCATAGTAACCCCGTGTCACATATATTACTTCAGCTCCAGCCATTGTGATCATGTGTCGTATTTCATTTCGTATATGGCAACAGTGACACCTTGTCACATATTTTACTTTAGTTATGGTCATTCATGAATTTGGGTTACCAATTTTTATTTTAATTATGACTCTAGTAACTCAACTTTAAATATTCTTTCATTCCTCTTTTCACCTAATTATATACTACTCCTACCACCTTTAACAAACATCATTCACAAGTGAATGACTTCGAGGGGGGAATAGTGTAAGGATAGGTCCAAGGTCCTTAACCTTGGATGTATTGCTACAGTTCCTTAATAACCGAAGTGAAGTTAAACCCAGCACTTCCCGGTTAAATTGCTGCATGATAAATATAGTGAACATGCCCACACCTGATTTACATAATTTTCCGATCTCGAAATTATCACGTCACACTTCGATCATCTTGTTAAACAAGCCACGTGGATACCTGACTAAGGCCTATAAATACCCCCCAGGGGCCACCTCAAAAAGGTAATTGAAACCAACCTAAAGATCCTTTTTCCATTATTCTAAAGGTAGATCTAATTATTGCTGACTTAAGCATCAGAGTGTCTACCTCGAGGATCCACCTTGGGGCTTTGCAAATTCATCCGAAGTGAAGAGGTGGACTGAAGAAGGATCTCTGGTTTGGTGCAATTACATATATATTTGTTTCTTATTTAACTAGTGTACCACAATTGTATCTTTGTATATAATGTACTGATTTATTCAGCAATAATATCAATGAGAAAGTCTTCTTTACATTCACAACTTCTTAATCTATTAGTGTTATTAGAGCCCTTTTACTCTCACAAGTCTCCTGCTCACATGGCCACCCACGATGAAACACCAAACTCTTCTTACTCTAAGAACTTGGTAATAACCGTCCTTAACACCAACATCACTAGGAATCCTATCTCCTTCAACTCCTCTGCTTTCCTTGTTGAACTCAACCCTAATAACTAAGTACATTATCTCAACTTTTTTTTTTTCAAAAATCATCAAGGTATGATATATTGCCTAAGGAAACATACATATTAGCCCCTCAACTTGCCTAGTGGTGGCAAATCAACCCCTCAAGTCAGTTCACTCACAAATGAACCCCTCAACTCATTTTCAATGGTAAATTAACCCCTCTGAGTAACATGACATCATCAATCCATTAAAACTTAATGTTCCGCTTATCATGCCTTGCTCCACGTCTAACTTAGTTTTTTTTTTTTTTTTGCTGAGATGGATGCTTCATTGAACACTTTGCTGGACAAATTGTGAAGAATGTTGTTATTTACTTTTATGCCCTTAATTGATTGGTCAAAGATAATTAGGGATCTAGGGTTTTCTTTCAATTGTAGCCTTTTATCGTCTTTTTCTTGTTTCTTCCTACCTTCCTAGCTTCTCCCTTTCATCTCACAAACACAAACACTCTCTTCCTCTTTCTCTTCCAATTTCCCACTTATCTATTTTGATTTTTTCCTTTTATCATTGTTTTCTTCATCTTGAAAAATTGTCTGTCATTAAACCATAAGAAATAGTAATGTCATTTCTGGATTCTGAGTCGTCAACTCATGGCAGAAGCAGAGACTGCAAGTTTTTCCATCAATGTAGTCAAGATCATAAGTATTTTCTTTTTGAAATCTCTCCTTTTTTTCTCCTTGGGTTGAAGTTTTATTTTTCTTTAGATTTCATGAGAAAATCGAAAATCCAAGCTACCAAAAGGAATTTATCTTTTTAGTGCTAGTTTTAGAAGTAAAGCAACTCTCTATTTCAGTTTGAAAATGACAAGAGGATTAGAAGTTGAAACTCAATTTACATCTAGCTGTGTTTTTTTTTTTTCTTCGTAAAAGAAGATATTGTGGAAGTTTTATTCATGTCAATGGACTCTGGTTTCTTGCCAAGAAAATGTGATTACTTTCTATTGTTTACACATCTATGAATCTGAGTATGGAGTCTTTTGGATCACACTCTTGGTGATTTTGCTTTATTTTAGGGCTACTATATGAAATGCTTAGATTAACAAAAATAGAGGATGCAAAATCTGATTGGAAGGTTTGTTTGATGCAGTTTTCATTTCAAAGCTTCAAATCTTTGTCTCCTTGTGCTTTTCAACTATAGATTTGCCTTCTCCTTTTTTGTTTAGGAATTTTTTTTTATTTTTTCTTTTTAAGCTCTTGAAAGAAATATAAGATTCTTGTTTTACACTTTAGTTATTATTAACTGCTTTCTAATATAAAAGCTCAACATTACTTTTATAAAAAAACTTTACTCAACATTTGCAATTTTATGATTTGCTAGTTGCTTAGGTTTCCTCGATTTTTTTTCCCTTAAGCTTTCATTCAAGTTTTTCTCTAATTTTTGCACGCTAATGATGTTGATTATGTCACAATTTGTCCAACAAAGAGTCCAACAAAGCATCCATCTTAGCAAAAAAAATCTAGGTTAGACATAGAGCAGGGTGTGATGAGCGAAATGTTAAGTTTTAATGAATTGATGCTGTTATGTTACACAGAAAGGTTGATTTGCCACTGAAGACAAGTTGAGGGGTTCATTTGTGTGTGAGCTGACTTGAGGGGATGATTTGCCACCACTCAGCGAATTGAAGGGCTAATCTGCATGTTTTGCCCATTGCCCATACCTAAGTTTGAAAGTTAGGTAGACTAGAAATTAACATTTTTTTGTCACGGTGCTAATTTTAACTTTCAACATTGTGACACGTGTTGATATATGTTGAAAAGTAATGCGTGGCTGGAACAAGTAATCATAATATGCTCCATGTTGGTATTTATTAGATTTAGTCACATGGTTTATGTTAAAAATTTAATTTATAATAAAAAAAATCATAGTAACGTAATCCATGTGGCTAATTTTCCATTTATTATATCCATTGATTGATTGACCATTTGGCATTGTTAGCTATGTGGATGAAAGTATACATCACCCAAGTGCCTATATCCCTTTTTTTTTTTGGAAAATGTAAGTTTTTCCTTTGAACTATAAAGCATATGTACACTATACTCCTAGGCATACCTAGAGAAATTTCAAAATCCTCAAAATTTTAGACTAAAAAAAAATTTATCTAGTTATTATCTAGAAATTTCGTTGGCATTTTTCCTTTGAGAGAAATGTCAATTTCGTTCTTGCCAAACCATGTAAATTGTAACAACTAAAGCCATCTTCAATTTCCTCCACTAAAGCTTACGGCCTCTGTATTCCCTCCTTATCTAACTCCCCTCAGCTACCTGAGGTTTTGTTACCCTTTATATGTTCAAGAAACCATTATTTTAAAAACCAAATCGGGCCAACTAGTTGAACCGGTTGGACCAACACCTCATAGTAGAAATAGATCAAGTGAGTATTTCAAATTGTTTAAGAGATTAAACCGCTTAAAATTGTTCAAACTAATAAGAACTGATAACCTGTCCAACCAACCGAGCCAACTCTTGTGATGAAATTCTCCAAAGTTTGTTTCCTCTGGCAAGGACGAAGCTACCATAGGACAAGGGTAGCAACTGCCCCCCTAAACTTTTGAAAATTGTATAAAGTACATTAATTTTTAATTAGTACAAAATTTGTTTTTGATGTTTGAATTACAATGACCTTTTTGAATTTAAAGAAAACATTTAGGAGCTAGGTAAAGAGACCATTTCTTTCTTTATAATTAATTCTTAAGACAAATAATTTTATTTGAGTATGAAAATAGATTTTATATTAGTTATAATCTTTTGTACAATGTATATTCTGTTAATTCAACAATTACATTTGTATTCTAATTGAAAGTTCATTAATATCTATAATCAAATCAAAAAAGAAATTATATTTATATGAGATTAGTATTTATTTACTAGACTTGCACAAAAATAAGGTGAAAAATACTTCAAAATTAGGATGTTCTAATAAAATATCACAAAAAATATTAATATATTCTTCATTCTTATCCTAAAAATATACTAATTCAGACTATATATTTTAATTAGAGTTTATTTAAATAACATAATTTTGAAATATTTTTTCATAATTTCTTCTCAATCCAACTTACTAACATTTTTCCTATTATTTTGTATTATTTGTTTAAGGATATTGAATTGTATGTTATTCAAAAATAATTAAATATATTTAAAGTTTGGCATATATGTTATAAGTAGTACATTTACCCATAAAATTAGTGAGTAATATAAAAATTGGTATAATTTTTTTTTGTATATTAAATGGTTTAAGTACCATTTTGGTCCCTCAACTTTTCACTTTGGTGCCAAAATTGTCCCTTACCTTTAAAAAGTACCAAAATTATCCTTAAACTTTCATTTTTGGTACCAAAATGGTCATTCCGTCAGTTAAATGACAGGTGTCATGTTAATTTGCGAGCAAATCACATAATTTTTTAAATGTTAATGACGTGTAAATCCAGCTAAGAAAATTTTGTTACCATGGCATGTTTTTTTTGTACACGTGGCATATTTTTTTACACATCATATTATCACCTTTTTAACTTTTCCTTTTAATGGGGCCCACATGACTTTTTTTAACTTTTCTTATTCTTTCTCTCTCTCCTCTCTTCCCCTCTTCTTCTTCCTCTCCAGATCTGGGTTTGATCAAACCCAAATTTGGGTTCTATGGCATGTCCACTCCGGCCAAGTACTTGAACATCCTCCTTTCCTCCTTTCCTCATCCCTGCTCATCCTTCTTCTTTCTTCTTCTTATTCTTTATTTCTCTCTCTTCTCCCTTCTTCTTCTTCTCTCAAGCCCATATCTGGCATTTCAGCAACCTCGCTCACCTTGTCCATCTTGGACGTGCTCGTGGCACTGCTACTCCTCCGTGTTCGAGGTGAAGAAACTGGGTTTGTGAATTTAGATGAGAATCTGTTGTTCGAGGTGTTGAAGCATGTGGACGCAAGGACACTGGGCATGGCTGCCTGTGTGAGCAAGTTGTGGCGCAAGACGGCGTAGGACGAGCAGCTCATATTCCATTAATTACTTGAATGGTTGGGCATGGTTGCTTCCATGAGCAATTTGTTTTTGGATCTTGAATTTTTCTTTAATTACTTAAATGGCTGGAAAATTGAAGTTTTCAATATAAAAATTTTGGGTTTTTTACAGATCTGAGGAAGGAGAATGATTGTTGCAGAGGGGAAGGTTTGAGGTGGAAGGAGACAAGATTTTGTCAAATTGGTTCACAATTTTTTTTACAGATCCAAGGAAAATTGAAACTTTCAACATAAAAATTTTGTTTTTTTTATAGAGATTAAGCCATGGAAATTTGGGTTTACCATTACTTTTTTTTTTTTTTTTGAGCTGCTAGATTTTTCGAAGTTACTGGTTTTGCTTGGAGCTTGGAGGAGATGCAGGAGAAAGAAGAAAGGAAGGTTGGAGGGTGAGGATGAGGGCATTTCAGTAATTTTATTTTTTTAATGTATTAACTGATTAAAAAAATGGGAGTTTTACTTGTTGGATTTATACGTCATTAACATTTAAAAAGTTAAGTGATTTGTTGGCAAATTAACATGACACTTGTCATTTAACTGACAGAAGGACTATTTTGGTACCAAAAATGAAAGTTCAAGGATAACTTTAGTACTTTTTAAAGGTAAGGGACAATTTTGGTACCAAAGTGTAAAGTTGAGGGACTAAAATGGTACTTAAACCTAAAAATTATGGATCAAACTCAAGATCTATGACTAATAATATGTTTGAATTGAGAGGAATGGAAGGAAAAGGAAAATTTCCCCTTATTTTATTTTTTCTTTTAATTTAATTACTTATCCAAATGAAGAGAGGGGAGAGAAAATTTTTCCCTTCCTTTCCTTCAACCCAAACATAAGATAAGAATATACATAATTTTACTAACAAGCTATATAACTAATAGTTAAAAATTAATATAAATTATATTGATATCAATTTATTATAATTCTAAAAAAATTTTAAGATTTCGACCCCCCTCACCTAAAAGTCAGGCTCTGTCCCTATCCTCTAGGTTTCAACCACCAAGCCTCACGAAGGGTTAGCAAGCCATTTACGACAAGGGCACCTTGCCTCTTGTGAAGTAAGTTGTAAATAATATCTTTTAAAAAATATCACAAAGATTTTAAAGGGAAACTAACTTCCATAAGGTTCAAACACTCACCTTCTTGAATGCTCTACATGATTCATGCCACTTGATTTGATTGAAGTTTGTTGTCCTATCATGCATTAAGATATACTTATTATAAAATTACATAAATTGAATAAATTTAACACATAAGATTTGAATTCTAATTCTCCTTAATATAATTAAGAGTTCCTGACCACTAGAGCCACTACTAATTCTTTGACATAAGTTGCATTATATTATATTTAATATATATTTTCAAAATTTAATCAACCCGATTTTTTGACCGATTAAACCGATTAAACCATCAAAACTGTGAACTAGAGGTCAAAATGGTTTGACCTTTGGTTTGGTTTTGAAAACAATGCAAGAAACCAAATACCATTCTCCAAACTTCTTTTACAAAGCTACATTCAAAAAATGGTGTTCACATGTCTCCTCTACATTACAACATAGAAAACAAATCTTACATATTCTCATATCTCTAGACATAAGTAAAACTTTAGTTTTCAGTCTTCCTTGCAAAGCTAGCCAAAGGATAAAACTATGGTGAGCAAATATACTCCTTACCTAGACAATATTGTGCCATTCAACTCCTGGACGCTTACATGCAAAAAAATCACAACAACTTGAGACAATAAATGGTTCATTGCTTGCAAGTTTTTAGATCACAAACTCCCTTACCTAAGTCAATCTTTGTTGCTTTATTGACCAAGCCAAAATCAGATGTCCTCTTACCAAACTATCTACTATTATCCAATTTAAGCCATTCAACTATTGATTAACAATAAGCTCATGACCACAATTTACAATCTCAAATTTTTTCATCACATCATGGAATCTTCCATCTCTAGTCTACCAATTATAGAACAAGGAGACTTATCTACCATCTCCTACTTGCATCCATATGGCACTTTTCAACAAGGGTCTTAGTTTTAGGATTTGTCCCCATGTCCAAGCACAATCAGCAAGACACTGGCCCCTCCAAAGGTTTTCTCCCCTTAAAAGTACCACCCATGCCTATTTAGCCCACAAGGACCCCTTATTAATACAAATAGTCCAAACCAATTTACTGAACGCAGCCTTATTCCAATGCTGAAATTACTTTACACCCAACCCTCCTTTCTTTCTAAGTAGGCATACCTCTTCCCATGCAACAAAAGACATAGCATTACAATTCCATTTCTAGACCAAATAAAATTCCTACAAATTGCATCCATAGCCTTCGTCAACTTTTTACGTATTAGCAGGGCACCATTCTAGAACACTTGTAAGTGGCATGATATGGAATTTACCAATTGAACCCTTCCAACATAAGAAATAAATTTAGTTGCCCTTGAGCTAATTCTATTATGAACCTTATCAATGATAGGTTGGCATGTTCTTGGAGAAAGCTTTGTAGGCTCCAACAATAACCCAAGGAATTTAAATGGCAAATGACCTTGAATAAAACCAAGTTCCTATAGTAGACTAGCCTTTAAATTGTTGCTAACCCCACCAAAGAAAACCTAGCTCTTCATGTTATTTACTTCCAAACCAAATGCTAAAGAAAACTCTTTAAACAATTTCATCATCAACACTGGGGAGTTAGCATCAACTTTACAAAATAGCATAATATCATCTGCAAAGGTTAACATCAACTATATCCATTTACTATGTTAATACTTAGTTGTCGTACTTCATTTTAAGTATAATTTGATGCATTTATTTCTATTTTATCTTTATTTCAAGAAGATAATTACAACAAATATTATACAAAGCACATTTATTTAAGTTGTCATTAATTAGAGATAAATATGATATAAATTAATAGGCTTTTCTAATTTATGCTTTAAAAACACAAGTTAAGGGCATCTGTTTGTCATAAATATATATAGAAAAAATGTAAAAACTAAAATTAATTTTAGTTCCATTGCCAAGTAAATGAATTTAATTAAATGGTTAATAAATTAAAAGTTAATTTTTTTTTCAAACACAAATTTATGACAAAAAAGTGAAATTATATATTACGCTCTTAACCTGTGCACTTAAAAAAATTCTAAATTAATTATTATACTCATATTTTATTAGAGAGAAAGAAAATTAAAATAATTAAACTTGTACCTCCTCTATTTCAAAAGATGAGCCGTTTAATTTTTTTACATGTAACTTTAATTATTATTTATATATTATAAAAGTGAATAATTTAAAAATATATACAAAAAAAAAACCGAATGATTTTTATTTTGAAACGGGAGGAAGTATAAAGCAAATAAAATAATTAAAAGCAAATTTAAATGAGATGGCACCAAATACAATCTATATTGTTTCAACCTTTATAACCTGACTTTTCTGCTATGTTTACAAATTCCCAACAATAGACGAAATCAACGAAAGAAAAGACAAACAAACATATATCATTCACAAACTAAACACAAAACCCCTATTGCAAGGCCTTTTGTCAAGGGGATAAAACTATCACATTAAAGAGATAGAAGTAACAAGTAACATGTTTGCTTAAATATAAAACGTATCCTACCTCTCTTTCCTTTTTTTTCTTTTCTCTTTTTTTTTTTTTTTTGCCATGGTTATCTCACCTATTACTAATTGATTTTCAACAAGGAAAAATCAATTTAGCAGTTATTTAATTTTAAATATTTGAGATTGATTATAATCCCATTAATTGTTGTAAGTGTGTTAACTAATCATTATTTTCTTGTATCATGCTTCCTATAATAGGTTAAATCACCTTCTGGTCCCTCCACTTTGAAGAGTGGGGATTTTTTGTCCCCACTACTAATTTTGGACTTTTTTAATCCTCAACTTTAAAAAAGTGACCTTTATTGGTCCCATTTGTTAAGTTCAAGCCGTTCGGATCAGAAGGACTTCATTTTTCTGTTAAAAGGTTACGTAGAATTTCCATGTCATCTAAAGTGCTTACAATTTGGATCCCTTAACTTGCACCCGATTGACACTTTAGTCCCCACACTTTTTTTTCATTTTGGTCCCTAATTTCATTTTTTCTTCTAGATATTTGGTTCTTAAACTTTAAAAAATTTGTAGTTCAATCCCAAGATTTTTTATTTCTTATGATTGAGTTTTTTTTTTGCAAAAATAACAAAAAATATATAAAATCAAATAAAATAATGCAACAATTCCACCTAAGATTGTCATTAATTAAAATAAATTATATTATCTTACAAATTAAGAGTTACATTGACCATGATGGTAATGACCTAAGAAAGTGTAATTGCAACAAACCAGGTAACTTCTTCCAGTCCAAGTCTTCTCTTCGGGATGACCTGTAAAGCCCCAAGGTGGATCTTCGGGTAGACACTTTGATGCTTAAGTCAACAATAGTCTAGTCTACCTTTAAGAATTATGGAAAAGGAAGCTTTAGGTCAGTTTCAATTGCTTTTTTGAGGTGGCCCTTGGGGGTATTTATAGGCTCTGATGAGATATCCATGTGGCCTACTTAACAAGATAATCAGAGTCTGACGTGTCCATTTAAGAGATCATCTTAAGGATAAAGAATTGAGTGCAGACGTGTCTACTGTAGTTGTCATGCTATTGCACGATCGAGAAGAACTGAGCTTGCAAGCTACTTCGGTCATTAATGAAATATGGTAGTACGTCCGAGGTCCTTAACCTTAGACCTATCCTTACACTATTCCCCCCTCGAAGTCATTCACTTATGAATGATGTAGTTGAAGATAGGAAAGGTAGTGTATAACTTGAAAATGTATGATGAAATGTGATAAAATGTTAAAGACTCAATTAAAGAGAGAAATATGTTATAGAGCAATGTTATTGCTGACTTGTAGTCATTATGGTTGTAGCTGAAGTAAAAATGGTGACTCGTGGTCACTGAAGCTGTAGTTGAGGTAAAAATGGTGACCGATGGTCATTCAGGTCGTAGCCGAAGTAAAAATGGTGACTCATGGTCACTGAGGCCATAGCCGAAGTAAAAATGGTGACTCATGGTCATTGAGGCCATAGCCGAGGTGAAATACTTGTAACATTGAAAACATTTATGTTTTATAACACTAAAAATACTTGTATAAACAAAGGGATTTGGGTTGGGGTTAATAAGGCCCATGTAAAAGCCTGATATGGTTTTGATATGACAATTGTCTGTCGAAAGACGTGTGCAATAAATACTGGTTATATAAAGTAACTATAATAATGGAACAGACGTATTCAAAATTGAATCGTCGAATTCGAGAGGGTTCCATTAGGAATTAACCGTTGAATTTGAATCGGTGTAGTCATGACTGTTGGATATAATTAATCACAACCGTAGAAGCATTTTTTTGTGTATTGGTATATACAGCCGTATATTTTTGTAAAAATATTTTACTTCTGCCATTTTTGCTACTAAAGTGCTGCTACAATTTTGTTTGAACTTGTGTGCTTGGGCTTCTAAATTGTTTGTGACTTCTACACTAATTCTTCAAGACCGAAATCAAGTAACGCATGAATTTTGGTAGTTTTGATTCTAGCGAAGAGTTTTATTCTCCTCTCACCCTTTCTGATTTAGATTTGAGTCCTCTTAAGGAGGTTAGGTTGAGGAGTGAGAGTGACATTGAGTGTGAGTTAGAACTTTTTGAAGATCCTGACTTTATTCCCCCTCTACTCCGTATAGTGAAAGTTACGAAACTGAAGAAATGTCTTCTAAGGAAACATTGAGTGTTGAAGGAAGCGAGGAAGTGACGGTTTTGGAATACGGTAATGAGGGTATAGAGAATGGGTCGTCTAGGTTGAGAGAACTAAGGGTGAGGTTAGTTGGAGAGAGATTATTGAGGGTGGGGAGGAAGGAATGCCCTCAAATATTTTGGAAATTGCGGGTAAGGGTGATAGGCGTTATAATGTAAAGGCAGACATTGTCTTTGAAGTAAAGGGGTATGAAACTGAGTTGGGTACAAGGGATGGCCTTGTTTATTTAGTTGAAACTTATGACCTTCCTCCCCAAGTGTTAATTAGCCCTGCTAGGGAGAAGGAGAAGGCATGCTCGGCACCTCGGGATCATTGGATGCCTATGTATGCCCATTTTTTAACAGCAAGGCTTAGGTTTCCAATTCTAGAATTGTTTGTTTGGTTATTGTCGGAGTATAGTATAGGTTTAACCCAATTAGTGCCTAACGCAGTGAGGGTAATAATTGGGTTTTTAGTATACTGCCAAGCTAGGGGTGTTAGGGTACCCATTATGAATATGTTTAAACATTTTTTTTGTAATTAAGGTTGGGAGTAGAAATGAGAAGAGGTGGTATTATTTCACACTTCAGTCATCCAACAAAGAAAAAAGAAACTTATTTAGTGCAGGACCTTCATCCATTAAAGGATAGAAGGAAAAGTTTTTCTTTGTTGATGACACGAAGTGGGAAATAAGGGATGTAGAGGTAGAATTTTTGTCTAGCTGGAAGGTTAAAAAGGCCAACAAGAATAAGTATAGTTTAAATAGTGATGAGGAGGAAGAGGTTGAGAAGCTAGTGAGAGAAACGGGTGATATCTTGGATATTATGTATCTCACTAGGTCAGATGCCATAGAGGCCACTAAGCTCTATGGGCCAAGTTTGTTGAGTGAAGATGTGTTTGCATTTTACTTTGTATGATTTAACATTAGGTTTTGACTTATGTTTTTAACATTTTTGCTATTTTATAGTTGAGATGGAAAGATTTTTGGGTGCAGCTGGAGGATTGGCTATTCCTAAAAAACCAAGGAAAAAGTCAAAGACTTCAAAAGATGCTGCAAGTAGGGGAAGAGATGGAAAGAAAGGGAGCAGATCTCCAGTTCCTCAGCTCAACCTCCTATTAATGAGCCAAGGCTAGAGCTTAAACACAAAGGAAGTGAAGACTTGGAGCCGACTCAAAGGAAAAAGAAGAGAGTAGAGGAGATAGAGGTGAGAGGAGACGAGGTGGTGGAGTTCGTACCTCGGCCTCCTCCTATCGAGCTTGATCCAGAACTCAAAGAGATTGGGGTTGTGACCCATGGCAAGGGCAAGGCTCTCGTACCTCCTCTTACTCTGCAGAACAATATTTTTGATACAAAGAGTAGTATGGAGGCGAAAAACTTTCTAAATGCATATCTTCTTGAAATGGATCGTCGCCAAGCAAGGGAGGAGGTTTTGAGTAATGGGGGAAGTTCAGTTGTTAAGCATGCTTTGGAGGTCCGTCAGTTGATGACATTTAGTTGTTCTTTTCTTCTCCTCCCCCCCTCTTTTGTTGTTGACTGGTGCTTATATGGCAGTGTGCTAGCTGGGTTAATGCACTGGCTCAAGAATTCATAGAAAATATCAAATAGCGCAACAAGTTGCAGAAGCAGAATGACGCATTGTAGAAAGAGAAGGAAGAGATGAAGTAAGACCTGGATGAGGTGGTGCCAGCAGTGATGAGTTTACAAGATGAGAGGGATTCACTGAAAACGATTCTTTCATTTGAAAAGCAAAAGAGGAAAATACATGAAGATAAGATCGAAGCTCAGGAAAAGGAAAGAAAAAAGATGAAAGAATCTCAAGCCAAACTCAAGAAGAATGTAAAGCTATTGGTACACATTGCAATGGAGGAGCACATTGTAGAGTTTCTGAACTCCAGTACCTTTGACAACATTGTCAATCTGTACCATCTGCCGATTGCAATCTTAGCATTCACAGATTGTAGGAAGAAGGTGAAAGCTCAATATCCCAAAGTGGATGTAATGAGAATAACCTTTGGAGAGCAAAAGGAAGGAGTGGAGGAGAATGGTAAAAGCATGTCAACTGACTTCCAACCTCAAATTAAGCTGAGATGGGATCGCACCATTTTCCCGTCGAACTTCGACTTCAAGTTCATCGTAGTGGAAGAAGGGAATGCAGAGGTAGAAGGTGCAGAGGTGGAAGAGAGCCAAGCACCTCATCCAGTGGAGATCCATCTAGTTCCTTCGGAGGAAGACCAGCCAGCTCCCCCAGTAGAAGATCAACCACCTCTTCCAGCAGAGTAGCGAGGCTTTTATTTTTTAATTTTTATTTTACTGTAAAGTTTGAACAATTTGTTTTCTTGATTTTGAACAGTTATGTAATCATTTCATTTGTTAATTTAACTAAGTGTTGAGAATTTATTTTAACTATTTGCTATGTTGGTGTTAAGTAAGGGTTGAAATGAATGAAAACACTTCAAATTTGAAGTGAAATTTATTAATAGAATCAACGTCAAAGGAGACTATTCTCATACAGAGAAGTTAAGGATCTCAGATAAAAATTCCAAAGAGCTAAATGACAAGAGATTAATCTTGGATAAAAATATCAAAGAGCTTTATAACAAGAGATTGACCTCGGATAAAGGAATCAACAATTATAAACTAAGATAAAAAGTTCAACTTGGAAATTGAATTAAGGGTAAAACTTTTTCAGATTGTTCACATTCCAAACTTTGGAAACTCTTTTTCCTTTAGCATTTTAAAGGATATATGCACCTGGGTGCAGCACTTTAGCTACTATATAAGGCCTTCCCAATTTGGGGCTAATTTGCCAAAACAAGTTTCAAACCCTGTTAGGCCAGCTTTTCTTAAAACAAGGTCATCAACTCTAATATATTCGATGGCATACTCGTTGATTGTAGAAATTGGCTAATTTCTGCTTGTATGCCAAAGTTTCAAGTCGTGCTTCCTTTTTGACTTCGTCAAGCAGATCAAGGTCCTCTCAAAGCAGCTGTCCATTTTGTCCTTCGTCGAAATGGGTGACCCTGAGGTTAGGGACTACTATTTCAATAGGAATAACTACTTCGGTACCAAAGGCCAAATGGTAGGGTGTTTCACCTATTTCATTAAGTTATTATTTTAGAGTATGCTTTATATATTATGCATATTTTACTTAAGATGAAGCAACAAAGGAAGAGATAAAATGGTAAGAAGGTAAATTAAGATAGGGATAGTACTTGTGGTAGGTCAGCTCGTGGTTCTATATGCCCAAAGCACATTGTTGAGCTCGTCTGCCCACCTGGCCTTATGTTGCTCCAACCTTGGTTTTATTCCTTCCAAAATAGCTTTATTAACAGATTCCACCATGCAGTTGGATTTTGGGTGGTATACTAAGGTAAACTGCAACTTAATTCCGTAATTGGAACAGAAGTCTCTAAATGTGAAGTAGTCGAATTAAGTTCCATTATCAGCCACAATTTGATTTGGAATCTCATATCTGCAGATGATTGAACTAAAAACAAAGTCTTCAACCTTTCTAGAGGTAAGGTTGGATAATGGCCGAGCTTCAACCCATTTCATGAAATAATCAACCTCGACTATCATATGAGTTACTCCTCCAACTCCTTTCACAAATGGACCTAAGAGATCAAGGCCACACTGAGCAAATGGCCATGGTGCCACTAGGTTTGTGAGTTCTTCAGCTGGTTGATGAGTTAAATGTGTAAAAAATTGGCACTTTGGGCACCTTTACATGAAATCAATGGCGTCTTTGTGCATGTTCGACCAATAGTATCCTTGTTTAAGGACTTCATGAGCTAGGGTTTGAGCATCAACATGACTTCCACACACACCTTCATGGACTTCTCGGAGTGCATATTCGGCTTCATAAGGACTTAAACACCAAAGAAGGGGAAGTGAGAAAGATCTCTTATATAGCACCCCATCTATTAAAGTATACCGAGATGCTTTCTGTCTCAGTCTCATTTCTTCTTGCTTATCATCAGGGACTGACCCATCATGTAGGAAAGACACAATCTAGTCTATCCAACTTGGTGTGCTCGAATCCATGTTGATCTTCATCACCCGTGGCTTTTGAAAGCTAGGCTCATATAGAACCTCAACAAAAACTGATATGGAACCTCAGGAACTATCAGAGGCAAACTTTGAAAGCGAATTTGCTTGTTCATTTTCAGCTCAAGGTATCTTAATTAGACAGAATTTCTCAAATTTGCACTTGAGTTCGACTACCAGAGCTGCATACTTCATCAGAATTGGGTCGACTACCTCAGCAATGGCGTTAACTTGATTAACTACAAGCTATGAGTCACTGTGAACCTGTATTGTTGTGACTTTCAATTCTAACGCCAATTGTAGGCCAACTAGCAAAGCTTCATATTCGGCCATGTTGTTAGTTGCATCAAAATTGAACTTCAAAGCATGTTCACTTCGGTAGCCATCTGGTTCGACCAAAACTGCTCCAGCTCTTGCTTCTTTATTATTTGATGCACCATCAACGTATAAAATCCATGTAACTAGTTAGACTTCCTAAGCTGGCTGATCAAAGGTGCATTCAACAACAAAATCAGCTAGTGCTTAAGCTCGATTGCTGATTTGTGTTGGAACATTATTTCAAACTCTCCCAACTTGACTGCCCATTTGATCAATCTACTAGAACATTCTAGTTTTTGCAATATTTGGCGAAATCGTTGGTTGGTCAACACGACAATCGGGTGTGATTGAAAATAGGGCCTTAACTTCCTAGCAGAGATAATGGCTGCTAAAGTTGCTTTTTCAACAATGGAATAACTCTGTTCTGCTCTATGTATCACTTTGTTGGTATAGTAAACTAGCTTATGCTGCTTTTCTTCTTCTCGTACTAGTACTAAATTGATTGCCTCATGTGAGATACCAAGGTATAAGTAAAGGATCTCCCCATCAACAGCTTTCGTTAGCAATGGAGGTGAGTTAAGGTAAGGCTTGAGCTTGTCAAATGCAACTTGGCATTCTGAACTCCACTCGAATTTTTTCTATTTTCCAGATTCATCTTTTGAGTTGCAGATCTCATAATCTTGAAAAATGGAAGCCACTTGTCAATAGATTTGGAAACAAATCTGGGGAGGGCTGCCACCCTACTAAGTAACCTCTGCACTTCTTTCATTGACTTCGGAGGCTCCATCTCCTCTATCTCTTTGATATTCTCGAGGTTGACCGATACCCCGCTTGGAAACCATAAAGCCTAAAAATTTTTCGGATTCCACTCCGAAGATGCACTTGGCTGGATTTAATCGCATTCTATTCTTCCTCAAGTTAGTCAAAGTTTCCACCAGGTCAGCTATAGGATCTTCAGCTTTCAAGCTCTTCACAACTATGCCATCAACATAAACTTCTAAGTTCCTGCCAATTTAAGCTCGAAACACAATGGTTACCATTTTCTGATAAGTGGTGCCTGCATTTTTTAAGCCACAAGGTATCATGACGTAGTAATAGATTTCATCTCTTGTGTAGCATGAAGTTTTTTCTTCATCTTCTGGGGCCATTGGAACTAGATGATAGCTGGAATATGCATCTAAGAGACTTAACCTCGAGACCACAGCTCGGATTTTTGTTAATGTAGGCTGGCCAATAACAACGTTGAAAGATGAAGCCATTTTAACAACCAGAAACCGAACTGAGGGAGTGACATAAGTTCGGCCATTTCCAAACGCCACATTGAGGGTAAGGACCCCTTTAATCTAAACAGGTTGGTTGTTGAAATCATATATGGGACCGTCATACCTTTGTAACGAAGTAGGATCTAGGCCAAGACTTTTGAAACAATGGTAATACATGATATTTGGTGCACTGCCTGTGTCAACAAAGACACGCTGTATCTCACAGTTGTTAAACATAATGGAAGTGACCAATGGGTCATTGTGAGGCAATATTACCCCATGGAAGTCAGCATGTATAAAAGTGACAGGTTGATTCTTCCATTCTGTGTCATCAAACTTTCATTTTTTAGCCCTATTTTGGTGTTTCACCTCCCTGACATATAGTTTCCATTGTTTGGAACTTAAACCTCCTGCTTCTAGGCCACCTGTGATTATGTGAATGATTTTAGTTGGTGGTGGGAAGGGTGGTGGAGCTTGTTGGTATTCCACTCCTTGTCTAGTATTTGCATTACAAGTCCCCTGTGACTGTAAACCCTATTCCTTGACAAAGGTAGGCTGATCTGTTCTCTGGACATGCTTATGTAACATCCCCTTCTAAGCTAAGTTTTCTAATTCAGACTTCAGCTGATTACACTCCTTCGTGGTATGACCATGATCTTAATGAAAATCACAGTATCCGGTGTGGTCTTTTGTGGCAAAAGAACTTCTCATTGGTGCTGGTCGTCTCACGTCCATCTTATTCTTAATCTACATGAATATCTGTGACCTCGGCAGATTAAAAGGAGTCCATGTAACTGATGCTTTGTTAGGAGTTTGTTGAAAAGGTGCCGAAGTCGGTCTTCTAAGACTCAGCATTAAGGTTGACATCGAACCTTGGTTCTATACTATTTTCATCCGTTTCTTGCTCTAACCCTCTTCTCTCCAAGTCGGGTTTTGCTTCTTAACAGAAGCTGGTTTCTATGACAAAGCATACTCCTCAACAGTTATAAACCTTAGAGATCTATCGTTAACTTCATTGAAAGTAGCAGGAGGTGCTTAATTAGACTATCCCTGAATCTTTCATGTTTGAGGCCTTGAATTATAGCTGCAATTTTTACTGCTTGATCAAACAAGCTAACCTCCAAAATTGCATCATTGAACCTGCTCATGTAATTTTTCAGGGATTCTCATCCTCTATATGATTCGCATAAGTTCAGGTATAGTTTTCTTAATTAATCTCCTACTGGAGAACTTAGTAGCAAAAACAAACACCATCTCCGTATAAGAGTTGATAGATCTCGGGGGTAGAATGTAATACCAAGTTCGAGCATTGCCTCGAAGAGTTGAGGGAAAGATTTTACACATCAATGCATTAAAGGCATTTTGAGCTTGCATACAAGAGTAGAAAGCATGTAGATGATCATCTGGGTTTTTGGTTTCATCATATTCAAGCTGAGGTATCTTGAAGCTAGTAGGATAAGGTTCTAAGGTTATGTTGATATTCAGAGGATGGGATACTGAGGGTGTAATATTCTGAAGTGGTGGAGCACCTCATTGCTCAGCTACCATTTTTTCTAAACTGTCCAGACATCGTGTGACCTCATCAAGTAAGGGTTGTAGAGCTAGGGCCACATGAGATTGACCCTAAGACTCACTGAGGGCAAAAGCATGTTGGTGATCATTAGAGCGAACTGGAGGAGGTTCTTGCTGTTGAACTGGAGGTTGTTGAGCTGGGTTTAATAGATTAATGAGGGGATCACCGGGGTTACTTCGAGCTTAGAGTTAGCCAAACTAGCTGAAAAACACCAAATTGCTATTGCATTGCAACAAGCTGAGCTGAGACTTGTATT